AGCCTTACAACTCGACTTTGATGAAACAGTCCAAATATACAAGCAGCGTACAAGTGAGAAACAATCAGCATTATTATAAGTACAGTTATATGGCAGTATTCAAGTGTATACTTGGTCTAACTATACATTAACCGTATTATCCTGCCTTTATTTACCAGAAATAAACTAAAATACTTTACTTTTAACACAGAATACGCACTGCGCTAACCATGTTAGCACCATCAACAGATATGTGAAAACATGGTTAGGCAAACGTGATTCCAATGCTGAAAGTAAGGCCTTTTGGTGTATTGTCGTGAATTAGTGTTTTATTTTGCCAGTGCATTAAATCAAAATATTACCGAAACCTGGACATTTAAAACGCGAACCCTGGACATTTAAAACTGACATCATAAGGAAACTGCAGGTCGCACAATGCTCAATGAAACGAAATATGATGGAAATAGCCAAGAGAGAGTGGATACGACAAAAGACCCAGGTAATTGATGTCATCCACAGAGTCAAATTCTTCAAATGGCAATGGGCAGGACACCAGACAAGAAGGACAGGCAACAGATGAACCACAAAAATTAGCAGGGATAACAGCCATAATCGCCATAGTTTGCTATGCCGGGGGCCCGCATAGCCAACAACATTGTCTCCTGAGCATTTTGTTTTTTGGATCATGTCAATACATACCTTGGTTATTTTTTAAGACCAGAATGAATTTGCCACCAACAATTTGCAATTTTTTCAATTATCATTTACTTTTGAAGTTATTTTTCAATATAACAAGGCGGCTTTGGTGATTATTGTGAACTATACATACACTACTATGAACTGCCCATCATGTTCGACGTTTGGCAAATGCTTAGCAGGAGGGTTAGAGGTCGCGAAGCGTTACCAGCTTCATTAAATGAACTTCGCTTGGTCCTTAAAGAAGAATGGGAAAACATAACGCAATATGATATAGGCAGCCTCAATGACAGTATAAACTAGTAGTGGGAAGTATCGAATGAATACTATCGAAACATTCGATAGTTGCAATTCATTCGAATAACTCGATAGTTAGTAAGAAAACATTCGTTGAAAACTATTCGAATAAAAATTATCGAATAGATCCGTCATCTGCCTTGGAATATTGTATTCTAGTAATTCGGCAGCAAAACCATTCATTTATAAATTCATTCATTATGAAATTCATTTATTCGTCAGGATCGATTATAATAAAATATTAACTGACTTTTAGTTGTCGCCCGGCGACGTAGGTTTCTTTTCGAGAAACCCGACAGCGGTCGGTGGCAATGCTAAGAAAGAAGCCGCATCTTTGATTTTTTGCGGAGTCAGATAGATAAGGACACATTATTTTTTTTATTGAGGTGCTAGTATTTACACAGAAAATACATTATGAAGGGCGCTATTGCCATATTTTGGTATTAGCTGATATTAGCAAAGAATATTATTGTTTGGCTTAGTTAATTAGGATGTATGTCTATATATTCTTCTATTTTTTATTAATATCCTGTTGTTACACTGCACAATACTTGTTATTTTGATGTAGGAAATGGATTTTAATGTTTTTAAGCAAAGACTGGTTTAATAAATAATAATAACAGTAATAATTTGTTATACCTATTAACAACAAAATTTAAAATCATTTAATATAACATTTTTTTTAAGTAGTAGTTAAAATATAAACAACAAAATTAGATGTCAAAATATTTAGATCCTTTAAAAATAATATTGTTCATTATTGTTCTTTATTATTTCTATTATATTATTAAATAATAATAATTACAAACTAATTTGTTATATTAACAAATTTTAAAATCATGAAATATAAACATTTATTAATTTTCTAAGCATGCAGTGTAATGGAAGGAAAAATATAAATAGAAAATTAGAAATCAAAATTATTATATAATTAAAAAAAAAAAAAAAAATTTTAAAAATTATATTTACTTTTACTGGCATTTACTTTAAAAAAAATAAATGAAATATTTCTTCGCAAAAACTACATGTAAGAGAATTAGCATAAACAAAAAATACAAACATCGTTAACTTTTCTTTTAAATTACACGTAAAAACTTTCATTTTAATTTTCTTCTCACCCCATAGTTTGAGTTCGATAACCATTTACTTAACTATTAATATGATTATTGTTCCGTTAATTCATATTATTAAAACATCTAAAATACAAATATATTTTAAAATTAATTGTGTTTCTCTCTCTTAAAATTGCTACTTTCTCAAAATTTTATTAAAAATAGACCATATACCATATAAAATTAAATAATTGAAAGATCGGACTACCGAAAACCACACAAATTTTTCAAGGGTACCTTGATCACCTGCACATGCACATAATCGTCAATAAATAAAATTAAAATAACTACTATTTTAGTATTTTAACCATTTTAATAAACGCAAAAAATAGCACAGTATTTATACGGCGAAGTTATAAAAATTTGGAAGAACTAATAATGCACTGACGCATACAAAATCAAACGAATACTAAATTTCATTTATCAAAAGCATTCTATAGTCGTGGCTCAACGATAACCATTTAGTCGCACGGCGAGGTTGTCACATATGCTTTAGTATACAAATGAATGAATGATTTTATTCGAATGAATAAATTCGAAATTCGAAAAAAAAGAAATCATTCATTCATTAACCATTCGATAGTCTAATTCATTCGATAGTTCCCATCGCTAGTATAAACGGACGCATACAGGCAGTTATGGCAGCCAAGGGCAGCAATACTAAGTATTAGGGTATTTTTTACAATTTTTTTTCTGTTTGTATACTTGAGTATTACAGATGTTTTCTTTATATTAATATCGTTAGTTCTGTTATCGTTATTAATGTTTATTAAAATCCTGACTGTATCGTTAGTCTTTACCGTTTTTTTAAATTTAGTATAGATTCGGGTATCCAATGCAGTGTAATATGACGTTACGAAAATAGTCACCAAAACCATCTCGTCATATTAAAGAATTACATCAAAAACTATTGATAGGTAACTGAAAAAATTGCAAATTGATCGTTATCAGTTCATTTCGCTCTTAAAAATTAACCAAAGCATCTATTGACATGAATCGAAAAATAAAATGCTGAGGAGTCATGGTTCTGACCGTAATATTATATTTTAGGAAAATTTACAGACGAAATTATTGCACAGGGTGTTTTAAAATTAGGATTTATTAGGAAAATTAGGAAAAACCCTATAAAAATCATGAAAACAGGGCTAAGAATAACAAAAATATAACACTTTAAATTTGCACTAAAAATTCTCCGTTGCGTTTTTTTTTGCATCTGAGTGTATAAGAAAAATATATTCTTATAGGGCATTTAAAGAGGCTGTCAGGTCTTTGCTGGTTGCGAGGGCATATTATGACGTGGAGGAGTTTTTCGCTGCTTCTTGGTAGATCCGACTTACTTGTTTGGCTGTCGGGAAATATTTTTATTCTGTTCTATTCTATTTTTATTTGCAGATATTTATTTTTAAATTTTAGCTCTCTTTAGCGTATTTCTAAGATTTTTGTATATTTTGTGCTGTCTTGTTTTTTTATTATTTTGATTGATTTGAGCAAACCAAGACATGAGATTTTGCTACAGGTGTTTGACATATCGACCTTATATCTGTTATGGACAGACGGGGCAGTTTTTGAACATTTCTCGCAGAATTCATTAACTCAGTGGAGGTGAAAGATACCCTTTTATAACTGCTAATTATTTTTAATTCTTGTCTAGATTATACGGAAGAATAAGGAACCTTTATTCGCAAATATATCCATAGAATTAGATCCATGGGCTCTAAGTCAGGCAGCCTCGACGGCTAACGGCTGGGATCTTGGTTAGCTATCCAATTATTCTTGAAATTGGCTGCAAAAATTTGCTGATAACTTCAGCGTTCAGAGGCGGTGCGTTGTCTTGCTGGAAAAATATGTTTTCGAGTTCCATTAAGGGCATATCATCAATAAGGGGTCCAAAGCCTACTAATTAAAAGTGGCGAACTTTTAAAAATTCTGTATTTCGAAGGGGATTATAACAAAATATCAAGTGTGCTACATTTTTGGAAAGGTAATTTTAAATTCTTTTCAGTTAATTAAAAATATAGAGGGTGTCCTAAATAAAAAATCAATTTTTCTGTTAATAACTCTTAAATTATTAATGTTAAAAAAGTTATACTTAAACCATTAAATTCTACGTAAAAAGGTGCTTTGGAAATGTTTTCATAGAAATACAACATTTTCCATAACAAAAAAGTTACAGCGATTTGTTAAAAATGCACATTTTTGAAAAACACCCCGTAACTCCGAAACGGTAACAGATATTGATATGCGGTTTTCACCACCATATTTTTGATGAAAATTGAGCTCCAGACACCGATATTAGTTTTCGTCTATCTCTTATAGAAAAGGGTGTTTCCATTTAAAAGCGTCGAATTTGACCCATCCTGTACATGGTACCCAACATGGTTATTTTTTGTCAATAATGACATGTATTGACTATTTCCATTCTAAACATTTTGAGAACGGTTGCTCGTACCGATTTTTACCAAGAGACATTTTTTACGTAAAAAATCAGGGAATTTTTTTTTGACTCAGTAATTTTCTACAGGTACGGACGAAAAGTTATTACTGTTCAAAACAGTTAAAAAATATGTAGGTGGCGCTCGTTACAAGTAGGAGTCATATTGACATCAAAATCAAATTTCTCATGTCAAAAAACTCCCAGATACCAATTTTCATCGATATATTGACGTTACTTCAGAAATTATTTGGAAAAAATAAAAATAAAAATGAAACTTCTACACCCTGTATCTCCGAAACTATGCATTTTGGGACATACATTTATACGTACTATTATACTTATTTTTATGTGCAGAATATGCTGCCGAAGTTTCCGGAATACAGTTCGGACCAGCCTGTATATCATTAGGCCATTTAAAAAAATGGATAAGGCGGGTTTTGCAATTTTGCAAAACAAACAAGAGCATGTCAATATTACATTACCTGCAAAATATAACTTGACATTTTCTCTCCGGTACGAAGAGTTTCCTCTATCTATCAACCAATATCTCTTTCTTCTTGTTTTCGCTTAGAACTTGAACTTGTTCAAAATCGACCGGCGACCTTCCTCGACGACCGACGGATTCGCGCGCGCCACTGTACATAAACACGACACACGTCTCGCGATCTCTTTTAGAAATGCGTTCGACGGGCACAATTTCATCTGGTCGTACCGCGATGCCGGGTCCGATCGCGGAGAGAGATGAGAGAGACCCCTTTCACCTGTTGTTGGTGCCGATGGCGTAGGCCCTGCCCCTAGCATTAAGGCCGAAATCCGAGGAAATTTCGGTAATAGCGCCTTGTGATTAAGTAACGAGTCGGTTTGGAAACGGGGTGTTGACGTTAACGATCTAATTTATATTCGGCGTAAGTATTTGGTGTGATTTATTAATGGACAGTCGAATGTCACTTTATTAAGTAACGTTCGGTTGGATGTTATCTGATTATTTGAATAATTGGATCATTGGATGAAACTTATTGGAATATTTTAAAGTTTTTTATCAAAAAATAAATCCATTTAGAGTCCTTTTGATCATTATCAAAAGACTGTTTGGTTCCCTTCTAATCCTGCATAATCTCTGCACTGCGGTCTTATCAGCAGTTCGTTTTAGTATTGATTGAAGATCATGCATACCTTCATTAAAAGGTCCATTAAAGTGTAATACCTTTAATGCTTATTAAAAGTAGTTCTATTATGTTGCATTAATCGACCTAACAAAAGCCTTCGACTCTGTAAACAAAGATGCACTTTGTGCAATTATGCAAAAGTTCGGAGTACCCAATAAATTTCTTACAATGTGTACTTTCTAGTCTCCATAACAACAATAAGTGGAGAGTGTCACATCATGGATCATTGAGCGATCCCTTCCTAACAAATATAGGAATTAGACAGGGATGTGTCTTAGCGCCTCTCCTATTCAAAATATTCATGGCAGCGCATATAGTGGACAGCAAACTGCAGGAAAGAGAAATAAGTGTTAGAGACAGGTATGACGGCGGTCTGTTTAACATAAAAAGACTCAGGGCGAAAACACGTATAAACAGAACTTCAATACGCTGATGACTGTGCTCTAGTTGCAAAAACGTTACAGCAATTACAAGAAATGCCGAACACATATAGGTATCTTGGGCATACGAGGCTTTGGGCCTTAAGCTGAACATCGATAAAACTAAAATTATGTGCACTCCCCCGGAAAATCATAACAGTGCTATAAAAATTGAAGAACTATTGGAATATGTAACGGAATTCAATTACCTCGGCAGTTTGATTTCGGAAAAGGCCAATATCGACTCTGAAATTTAGCACAGAATTAGCAGCGCCTCAAGAGCATTCTGGAGATTAAAAAACAGGGTTTTCTACAATCATGACTTGAGCACAAAGACGAAACTTGCAGTGTACCGAGTAATAATAATTCCGACCATGTTACATGGAAGCGAAACCTGGGAGGGTGCCGTACCGCTGCGCCGGCATACGAAGGCATTAAGCAAGTTTTCGGTTTTGTTAGGACACTTCTTAGAGTAGTCCTAGACTTAAAGACCTTTCACAGAGAGAGATGTAGAATGTTTAGAAGGGGAGTTAGTCACCGCGACCTTACAGATCTATTGTGTGTCCCCCTTTCTTGTGTTATAACGAGTTATAACTCATCATACAGTCTCAATGCTTTAACAAAAGCCAGTATCTGAGACGGCTCCACAGAGGCCAGCTCTCCATCCTTAACATCAGCCGTACCAAAGTTCATGGCACGAATGGTCGTCGTCTCGGTGCACTCAGTGATGAGGTGTTCTGGTGTTTCCCCATATTCCCCACAGAATCTGCATTCGCCGTTGTTTCTCAGCTTCAGCCTACTGAGGTGTTCGTTGAGGAGACAGTGTCCTGTTAGAAACTCCGTGACAATCCGAAGATTGTTTTTACTTAAATCAAGGAAAACCTTTGATTTTCCTTTCAGGTTCTGAGGAACTTTTTCGATTGTCTTAGACCGTTGGAGGACACCCATTCCAAGTTGCGGTTGGAGTCTTCCAGATTCTTCAGTTCCGCTTTCAGTTGGTTTCCGCTTTGAAAACAGAACGGTTCTGGTTCAGTTAGTGGAGTGTTCGCTCCTTTCCTAGCTAGATCATTTGCTGTTTCATTGCCTTTTATCCCTTGGTGAGCAGGCACCCACAGTAGGAGGACTTTATTTTCTTTGCCCAACTTGTTGAGCTTCTCTAGGCATTCTTTGACCAACTTCGAATTGATGGTTACTGAGTTGATCGCGTTTAGTGCTGCATGACTATCGGATAGGATGGCAATTTCCTGTTTTCGATAGTTCCTATCTAAGAAAAATTGTACACATCTTTCGATAGCGTAAATTTATGCCTGAAGGATACTGGGGTAAGTGCCCATTGGTTCGGAGTATTTGGTTTTCGGCCCAAATACTCCTATCCCTGTCCCTGCTTTGGTTTTGGAAGCATCAGTATACCACGTTATGGTATGGTCTTTTATATGCTGAGTAAGCGTTTCTTCCTTCCAATCCTTTTTATTACTCAATACTACAGTGAGGTGTTTCTCAAAGTTGTAAATTCTTGGTATGTCATCCAATGGGAGTTGGAGAAGTTGAATTTTCTTTTTGAGGGTGTCCCAAGCCCCTGACCTAAAAATTCTCCCAGTACTGTTCCCGTCAATGACCATTCTAATCATTGTCGCACTGGCATAACTACCGACGACAATGTGCAGTGGTGTTAGGTCTAAAATGACCGCCATTGCTGCTGTTGGACATGTTCTCATGGCACGGAGAGAGAGAGAGAGTGAGAGAGAGAGATACAGAGAGAGAGAGAGAGAGAGGCAGCTGTATCTTTTTCGAATATAACCCTAAGAGCGTATTTAAATAATATCTGACGCTTTTTTTATAGCAAACTTTATATTACTGCTTTGAAAATTTTACTAATTATTTCACATTGTACCGATGCCTAACGCGTTGCCGAGTCCGATCGCAGAGAGAGATTAGAGGAACCCCTTTCAACTGTTGTTGGTGCCGATGGCATAGGCCCTACCCCTAGCATTAAGGCCGAAATCCGAGGATATTTTGGTAATAGCGCCTTGTGATTAAATAACGAGTCGGTTTGGAAACGGGGTGTTGACGTTAACGATCTAATTTATATTCGGCGTAAGTATTTCGTGTGATTTATTAATGGACAATCAAATGTTACCTTATTAAGTAACATTCGGCTGAATGTTATCTGATTATTTGATGAAACTTATTGGTTATTCTTGGGCATATTATTTATTGGAGGAATATTGGAGTTTTTGATTGGGCTGAACCAGAAAACCTTTTCTTGCTTTTTGACGCCAAGAATAAAGGAACCTTTCTTACTATTGAACATTTACTACTATTGACAGCAAAGGACTGCCGCTACATAATAGTAGAAAAGTACTAAGCGGGTTTCCTAGGAGTTAACACAGACCGGTCCTGATAAATATTGGCCTCTAAATCTCCATAGAAACCGCGATGGAAGTTTCAAACAGCCAACTGGGAGGAGTTTCCCAAGAATTGGATTTTAATATTCAATGGATCCCTCCGGAGCCAGCCTCCTATGAGCGTTTTGTTGGAATTGTCCACTCTATTGCTAAACAGCATGTCCCAAAAGGTTTTGCGAAAGATTATATCCCTGGATGGAGCCCAAAATGCCAAGAACTATATGACGACTTCCAGTCGACACAGGATTATGAGGTGGCAGACGAACTGGTCTTGGCCTTAGATGTCGCCAGGAAAGAGAAATGGTGCAACTTATCCGAAAATATTTATTTTCAGTCATTTTGGCAAGTAGCATACCAACCAGCAACATCGAGTCGAAAATAAACCCTAACAAAACACAAAAAATTAATATAAAAAAAAAAAAAAAAAAAAAAAAAAAAAAAAAAAAAAAAAAAAAAAAAAAAAAAAAATATGAATTAAAATTCAAAATGTTACTAACCAACAATTTGTTAGTAGACATTATAGTCATTAAAATCGAATATGACTTTTTATTTTTTTTTGAATTGTTAATTTGCTAATATTTGTATCACTAAATGAAAATGCAGCTGGTTTAATTCATTAATTTCATCATTTTATGTCCTTATTTGTTGGTACTTACTTATATTAAAGCGGAAGTAATCGATCAAATATTTTACCCAGAATTAATTAATCACCAATTTTAGAAATGTTAAGTTATTGATAAATATTCATCTTACGGTAAGATAAATTCTTGCCAAGTATTATTAAATTACATTAAAGTAATAAAATTTAATTGCTTCATTGTCACTTAAAACGAATATATAATATATGAAATAATTAAAAATTCGTAATTATACGTAAGATATTGAGTAAAATTTAATTGGTTCATTTTCATATCAATTGAAATTACTAAAATTAAAATATCTATAAAAACATGTTCATCTCAATTGATTGTGTTTAACTTTATTATTTACCTTCGGGAATTTTATCGCTGTGCGACCTGCTGTTTCCTTATTATCGGTTTTAAGTGTCCAGGTTTAGTAAAGAAGGCGGACTGGTAAAGAATAGCTTAATTCGAATGATTTCTCTTTACAGCGTTTTCAGATGGAGCGGATCGTACGCGCGGAGCGTCCGCGCGGATGTTTTCAATATAGCTCATCCGGACAGAGCATACGCGACGGGTGCCCCAGTCAAGGCTTGAAAGTAAAATACCGACAACAAACTTCTTTGCCAGCGAATTTCACCGCTATCGCCATCAAAATTTGGGCATTAGAAATGTCACAAACTTTGATGCTTCATCATAATCAAGCTTAGGTATATAATGGAAGGAAAATGAAAACTCGAAATATCCCTATGGATCAAAAGTTAACTGTAACCGATACTGGTAACCGACTTTCCGGCGATGGTATAGTAGGAGGACCGGTGATTGGCCGTAAAATCACCGATTCAGCCTATCACCTCTACCTGGGTTTTTAATTTAAAATAAATGCAAATATAAAACTTAGTAAAGTATTCTAGCCACATCTTATTTCAATTACAAACTTATTTGGATGACTCTCTTTGCTGTAAAATCGATATAGGGGGGCAAATATTTGAACAGCTCATAATTTGCATGGGATAATACATGCCGATTTCCAACATCGAT